CTGGTAAGGCTGTGACAGTTACCAGTTACCTTTACCACCGTTACCCGGTAACGGTAACTGCTGAACAGTTCCCGTTCCTGGTAACGGTAACGGATAAGCAGTTACCGTACAAGTAACGGTAACCGACCAGCAATTACAGTTACTGTAACGATAATGGTAACTGTCACAGCCCTATTTCCTGGTGGGATTAAAGCAAAGTTTTCCCTTATCTATTTCTATTACGCCATGTTATTCTACGGTCAAACAAGTGATATTTTGATCCATGCTGAAAAAATATTGATATATTCAAAGTACTTCGATTTCTAATCTTTGATAAAACAGAAATATATACTATTTCTTTCAGAAATTGAATAAGAATGTGAATGAGCCATATTCACATCCTGATGAGTTCGCCATAAATTTCATTACGGCTAAGATCGCTGGCAACCTTTTGGTAGATGGCAAGAAGTTCTTTTTTCTGGAACCATCGGACATGAAACAGGAAAAATTTTTCTGCCGTAATATTGAAATAAGATGTTTTAAATTCGATATTTAACGATTATACATAAAAATACAAATAAAAATAATCAAAAGTCCATTTCATCTTCCAACAGAACATTTTCGAAAGTTTCAAGGGGTTTGATTTGAGTAATATATGATTTGTAAAGTGAGGGTGTATCCTTCGAAACCCTTGTTTAGGTTTTTTCAATTTTTGTCAAACAAACACTGTCACAAGATTCAAATACGACGATAATTTTACATTTTCCTGTGTTTATGAAATTTTAAGTGCTTAAAACGTGTGAGCTGAGAGATCTCAGATGAAGTCAGAAACAATCTTCCGTGTCTATTTTGATAATAGATATCTTAGGTTATCTGTTGATCGACTTTTTACAAAATTTTGTATTTCTGACGGAGCCTTAATGGGGAGCCCTGTCACTCGTTTTTTTTACCGTTTTGGAGAGGACAGTTTGAAATACAAATGGCAAAGCGTTTTCGGTCACCGAACTTGTAGCTTTTGACAAAATTTTTTTAAAAATCGATTCTTAATCGATTCTTCGTGAGCCTGTCTAGAATTTGATACTGAACAATTTTTGTTCTCACAGCTTTCTTCTATAATGCTCTCCTGAACTCTGTACAAGGTCCTGGATGATTTTGCGCTCTGGGACTCTACAAACTGGTCTGAAAATGTTTATTTTTTTCGGTTTTTGACACTTTCATTCGATTCCGTATGTAAAAGTGTCTATGTTCTATGAGTTGAAGATTTTCTGAGCACTATCCTCTAGCTCAGAAGAAAAGAGAAAGTAGCGTAAAATTTGGGCGCCTGTTCTCCGCAATGGAGCGTCTCAATGTTTTCAATTTTAAAGGTTGACCTTAAGAAATTTAGCTACAGCAAAGTATAATATCATAGGAAAAAAACATCACAAACAACTTCTACACTCACATTTCCGCTACGCTCCAACTGTAGGCAAGATCTGGAACAACGCACACTTTTGGCCCCCAAAATCCATTCTCAAGGTCAAATCCGAACTTCTCCGCCAAACTTTGTTCAAGAACGATGACAATCTTTTCACCTATACATCTCGATGCTCTCTATCAATTGCTTACAAAACCGAGGTTTCAAACTGACAAGTAAAAATTTTACCTAAATTCTAATAAATGGGCAAAAAAGGCCGAAAAAAATTAAAAAGATTTTCTTTTTAGAAAACTACAAGCCCGTAAACCTCCAAACTCTTTTCATATATATTTTGAAGTGTTTCAAATATGAACTGTTTAATCCTAGTGAAAGGACTCATAGTATCAGTACGTGCTCACATATTTGTCCATGAGTACTCTCACTGAGTAAATTTTCGAAAGAAATACTGAGCAGAAGTCACATGAGTACTCAAAAGTCGTACTCACATACTCAATATTCCCTCATGAATCCTCATCTGAGTACTCCATCAGTCAAAATATGCATGAATACTCATGAGTACTCGTCGCAGAGTACGACTTTGAGTACTCGGACTTGAGCATAGTCACTATGGAAGAAATGCCATTGCTATTCTGTTTCCATATACTATCTAAAGTTAACCTATCGTAAAACAAGATAAAAAAAAACTGGCAATTTTCTGAACCAACGCTTCCTCCAAATTCTTTAACGCTTCTTTCTGTTCACTAGCACTATTTCAATAACTAAAAAGAAAATGGGTACCAGCCAAATGAAAAAAAAATGTACAAAAAAAGCTCGCGCAACGAAAAGTTTTGAGTCAACCGCGGCCCAAAAAGAATTTTTTGTGAAAAAGTAGTTTAATTAAGAAAGTCGTTAAAAGTATTTGAATCTTCTCCCAATGCTAAGTGTCTCGCGTCAGCCCTGCTCAAGAAGCTCGTGCACACTGATGGAAAACCTATGAAAAAGTAAAACGATGATCTGGGTCATGTTATGAGTTAATATATAAAACATAAATTATTACAAGAATTTTTTACTGAAACGACAATATCCGAAATCGAGTGCAGTGAAAATTTGTCCAATTGCAAGAGGCGGCAACGTGAAATCCAATCGATAATCAATCAATAATACAATCACCGATGATTAGGTATGCACCAGTACTAGTATTTATACTGGTTTACTAGCCAGTTTTCACTGAGTACCCAAACGGTTCGCCACCCAAATACATTGTAACCCAACGAAAGGGTTTGTCACACAAATGTTTCGGCACTTAAATAAAGTGATATAGTTTAATACGAGTTTTTGTAGATTGACATTTTTCTAAGACCTTACAGAGAATCACGCTATTACACGATGCAAAGCGTAGAACGGTACCTAATATTGGATAGTTTGAGTTTTTTCACAGCAATGTCCCATCTTTGAGAGAGCAGACTTTTATAAAAAGTCTTCGATTTCTTTAGTGTTATACGTTACACGCTGAAATTCTTCTCGATTACTCGTGCAGTTTGAATAATATTCCTTCAACAAAATATATCTTTATTTTGAAGCAAGATAGGCTAACATTTGAAGATCTATGTTTCCATTCCATAAAGCAAAAAAAGGCATTAGAAAAATGTTAATCTACAAAAACTGGCGTTAAGCTATATCACTTTATCTACGTGCCGAAACATTTGTGTGGCAAATTCTGTGTATGACAAACCCTTCCTTTGGGTTACAATGCATTTGGGTGCCAGTATACTGGTACTGGTACATATCTATCAATGCTTCCTGCTGCTTCAAACATTCGAGAAGTTTTGTATGAATGTATTTCGAAAGATAATTATTAAATTGATTATAGTACAGGACGAAAAAATATTTAAAATTACGACATCTGATGAACAACTGTGGTGCATTAACAAATGCTATTGATATTACATGGAATTTAAATGAATATTATAACAAACATATCTACTAACAACTGCTATTCATCGAATACGAGAAGATATAATACATGATTTCTATGGAAATAGATTATTCACAGAAAAAGAAGAACGAATTTCAATGATGTTAACCGATGTAGAACCAGCAACCAAACAAGATAATAATAGCCTGATACTAATAATATTTTAAAAATAGCTAGCATAGTGTATTTCTAACAATACGAAAAAATATTACAAAATACGTTTTTTTTAATCACATTTCTTATTAGTTTTGAGAACATGCTAAGTTAAAAACGAAAACAGGCTAGATGGTTTTGTCCGGTTTATTTACAGCGTTCAAGATTGATGTTAACTCTTTTTTATAGATTTTTTTTCAGCTAAATGACGCATTAATGTGTAATGTCGAAGTGACTTTGTAGCAGATGATTGAGGTGTCTTTGTTGTTGTTGGTATTATGGGACATGGGATTTCTTCAATAGCATGTTCTTCATTTTCATTAATATTATTGTCTAATTCTCCTTCTTCACATGCGCCAGAAATTAAACCTTTGTATAAATCATCCTCATCATCTTTATTCTTAAGTAGTTCTTGTTCATCCTGTTGCCTCTTAATCGATAAAGTGTCAAGTTTTTGATCATCGTGAACGGATGAATGTGATTTGGACGAATCAGCAAACCAGTTTTCGACTGATATTAACTGACTAATCATTGGTGAGATGAGTATTGCTGGTTGTTGTTGAATATCTGAAGATATTTCTATCGTATTTGTCACGAGAGAATCTAAACGGATATAAAACTTGTTGTTTTTTTATTCAAAGTTTGAGTTGTTTTGAGCACTAACTCGATTGCTGAGAAACTGATTTCCATTTGGGATTTGAATTATATTTATGATGTTGTATTTCAATATCAGTTTGAATATCTTTAATATAATCTTTGAACAGATGTTGATTCTCTAATAGTAAACTTGTATTATTCGTTTCGTTCTCATTAACAAGTCTATCTAAACGTTTACATGCCCCATTTAGTTCATCATAAGTTATCTTTAACATTAAAATTTCATTTTCAATCAATGGGATTTCATGTTTGTATAACAAAATCTTTTTTTTTAAATCGGCATTCTTTGTACGAATTTTAACAGCATAATCACTTAACGACATTGTCGATGAAGAAACCTAAATAGTAAGCTAAAATAGACAAAAATCAATGAGTTAGACAAAAATACTCCGTCTAAAACACATAAAAGTTTGGTTATTGAGTAAAAAGCAATTTTCGTCTTGTGAACAGTAGAAAAGATCAAGCGACAAGCAAGCGTTAATACAGTGCATTTTAATCCAAAGTGTGATACAATATAGCATAGAGCATACAGAAATTTACCCAAAAAATATATTTCACAAACGATCTGTTCCGTTTTCTAATATAAAAGATTTCCACAACTTTTCACTTGATTGTGATCTAATTCTTCTCGTTACTCCGACTAAATGGACTTTCATATTAAACAACAGCAAACTTTTTGCTTCTGCTTCTGTTTTTTGACATTGTTTATAGTCACTAACTATCGTGTATTGTGAGATATTGATCTGCAATGGCTTGTCCTTGGTCAATAACAACTAATGAAAATTGTTACACAAATTGTTTTATAATAAATGTAAATAATGATCTGAATATCTAACATCAATTCAGATGACTATTCATTTTATCATTGAGTTAACATGAAATGTACATAACAAATTTTTTCTGAAAACGGCTTTGAGATGCTACACTATCAAGTTTTGTATTAGATAGTACAAACAGAGCTAGAATCATTATTACTTTTAATATATTTAATAACACGTTAATAGCTGTGATTAAACATTTTGTTCGATAGTCGAATATGACTTTTTGATTAAGCATTTTAGAATGATTATTGAATGAGATAATATCGATAATATAAATTATTACTATTAATTTGTTTTATTGAATATTTATCGTTGATTGTATCAAATATTCACTTTCTTCATAAAAGCCACTACTGTGTAAACAAACACATTAACAAATTCAAACTACCTTTTGCATATCAGGAACATCAATAGATTTAACACAAAATGTTCATCAACATGCTGTTATTCTCGATCACCGATCAATGAATATTGACTGTTGAATAAAATGAAGCATTTGAAATATCGAATCGATCTTTGTATACCATTTAATTGTATAAGGACTTGGCACTGTTTCCACCAAATATTACGGTCTCTTTTCATCACACTGTTTACTAAATGTTTTTTCTCATAGTTTATCAATAATATTCAAATCAATTCAAACAGTGGCAACTAAGCATTTGCACGTAGCTACAAATGATTTATCTTGCGATCTCTTTTATTACTAAGCAAGATTTTTAATAACAAATTGCACACATGGAAGTAAATTGTAACATTTTGATTTTCGAAAATGCGGTCTGTTTTACGGCCTGGAGAAAAAGAATTTTATATTTAAAGTTTGCACTATTCAGGGAAGAAACAAGCTGAGAAAAAGATAAAAAAGTAAACGAGAAACAGATAACTGTAGATCGATCAAGTGTGATTTAGAGAGATAATCAGAGGCCATAAAAGTAGAGATGGGTTAAATCAAAATCGGAGCCAAAGACATTTTGTAGCAGGGATGGGTTACATCTCCTCAGTCGAGACGTCTCTGGTAATTTGTTTTGTGAATTTGTCTTTTATCTCAAATCGTTTAGTGTGCAACGAATAGTAAAATGCTAAAAATTGAGTTTGTCTTGTTAGAAAAAAGTTGAAATCTGGAATCTATGATTATCGATACGTATCATTGTTATTTAGAAAACTTCATAGGAACAGGGCGTTGTAGTTCTCATGTTTGACTATTACTCGCAGGCCATGGTCCAATTCATGTCTGACTCTAGACCCAATATATAATTTTTTAGCGTTTGACCCAAGATGATAAACTAGATCAACCATCTTTCATTCGGATTGTATCCAAAATTTTTCTTAACCAAGAGCTAACGTAAAAGCAAAACAGAAATTTCGGTTGCTATAATCTACTTGTTTTTTCGTCTTTAGATTCTCTGTTTATGCATTAGTAGCCGAAACAATTCGATTTTGATTTTCTGTACTACGCGATCAATCGAGTAGTCGCATTTAACTCCAGAAAAATTTAGAGATAAGATCTAGATCTTTGTATGTCTCTCTGTTCTCGCGAGATAAAGCCATCACTGAAAGTTTAGATTTTTGAAAAAGATCTCGATAATTTTTTGATTTACCAGCCACTTATAAAAATTATTGAGCCCAAAAAAATGTCTTAAAACTTTACTTTTTATACCCGATTTGGCTTTGGAAGAACCTGTTATTGCATTAAAATACCGAACCTCCATTGTTTTTACCTGATCAATATGTATATGTTCAAGGTTAAATCGCGAAAAGAAATAACGATGAATAACACACGGTCATTAAATGAAAAATTTTTGGGGATGGCCCAAAAGTTCAAAAACCCTAGTTGCACTTCTGAGACTTTCGTATCGCGAACTTGATTGAAATGATCGAGTCTAGCGTTAGCTCATATCATATATCATATCAGCGGAAAAAAATAAATTTAGCTTTGAGTTGCTGAGAAGAGCTTTTTCGTATTCAGCACACTTGATAATCCAGAAGATCTTCTATTTTTGGCGAGGGGTACTTTCAAAAGTTCAGAAAACATTTTCAATCTAAGAAATAAATATCAATAGTGAATAATAACTAGTACTCGTACTGTTTCATGATTGGCCACATTCTGAACTCTTTTTATCCTTTATAATTGTACGTATCTTTTCAGTAAATAATATAAACCAATCAATTATTTATGTCAGTTAAAAGGATGTAAAATGACGTCATCTGGTCATGGTTTGGTTTCGATGAGCCAGCAGAGAAAAGACTTCACTATAAACAGTACCAGGAACGGAAATAAATGCTAACGTGTGTATCTCTGATTCCCTGATGTTTATACTCTTCTTTCCTGACTCGTCCAAGCGTGATATGTAGTGCACATTTCAAATCCAAAAACGAAAGCATCAATTGGGCATCAGGAATTAGAGGTGAAAAATAGAAACTTTCTTTATACAGGGTTTTTCCCCAGAAAGCAAGTTGCAGACACAGACAATTACTAATAGAGAAAAACATCATTGAGCTTGTGTACAACAAGAAAAAAGTCTCTTTTTCTATCTGACTAGTCACTTAAAGCCAGTTAAAAAGGTTTTTCTTATTTTCTCTTAAATATGAAAAAAGTTCTAGTAGAAAACAAAGTGTAAACAGCGATAGCAAAGCGTACACTGTACGGTCTGCTTCCCTCAGCAAAGCGTAAAGTAGAGCGTATTTTTAAATTCCGAAGCGTATGTACGCTTTGATACAGTGAGCCGTAGGAACAGTGAGAACGAGGTCCTCACAGAGTTCGGAATATAAAATAACTTTAAAAATTTATTTCTTTGAATTTGTCATATAATAGCTGTATTTTTCGTATCACTGACTCCTTTTTTCTTGTTTATTACAAGTGTATATTTGACGAACTACAGTAAAATGGCGATTTAATCTCGATTTGTTCTTACTCCCACTCACCTTTGATACCGATGTGTAAAAGTAGAATATTTTATGCGTAAATACTGGAAAAATATTTCAGTATTTACTTTTAGTCTCCCCGCAAAAAATGTATCCCTACAGCTTCTAACTTGCTCCGCCGCCTTACCTCTGCTTTTGCTCATTTCTTCAACTGCTGAAAATCTGTTCTATAATCGACAAGAAAGGAGAAATATCAGGCTCATCGTTTTAGATGCATTGAGATTAATGGAATCCTTGTTTAGTGATCCGATTTTGAAGGATAATAATCCTGCAGTAGTAGGAAAGAATAATGTTAAAAAACGTAAGCATCGTAATCGATTGGACAAAGATACTAGTACAAAGAAAAAAAAGTCAACTGCCCCACATTTACGTCGAAATATTCGACCATTATATACCGAAGCAAAACTACAAAATGATACATTAGCAGCACAAAAAGCCGAACAAGAACGAATACAACGTTTACAAGAAACAAATTGTAACAGAATATGTCAGCAACAAGAACAAGAACAAGAACAATTACAACAGACATCTAACGAGAATAATGTTGGCGATGCCTGTGTTAACTCTTTAAATCTTGAACAGAACAATAATAAACCTTTGTTTTATGCACAATTAAATCATGGAAATCTTGAATATTCAACAGGAGAAGCAAATATTTTTCCACAAAAAACATTAGAGCGAAAAATATCGAGTGATGATGATTGCATATTGATTGATGATGATGATAACGATGATGACGATAGTAATGAAAAAATAGAGACCATCCAAAAACTTAGTAAGATTTTTTTTAGAATTTATTAAATTTTTTTGTTGAAATCCAATAATTGTTTGTATTTTAGATGATACAAATAATGTCGGAGAAATTTCTTCTGATGATAGTGATTCCGATATTCAATGTGTTACTAGTGATACAGAAAATGTGAACGATACATTAAGCAAAAAATTACAACGTTTGCATATCGATGATCGTATGAATATTCCAGATGAGAATGGTATAAAAAACAAGGCGAAAAAACAAATCATCTGCTATAAATAGTTTCTAGCAAAATATCCTGTTTTTTAGGTCTTATTTTGGTCAACGTCAATCATCCCGGTGAAGATAATGACCTGTATATTCCAAAACATTTAACATTAACATTAAAGCCACATCAAATCGGTGGAATTCGTTTCATGTATGATAATATTGTTGAATCAATCGAACAACATAAAAAAACGGATGGTCTAGGCTGTATTCTTGCTCATTCTATGGGTTGCGGAAAAACGATACAAGTATGGACTTATTTATGTTTTTTTCTTCCAGTGATTTGCTTTCATTTTTTAGGTTATTGCGTTTATTGATACGCTGTTGAGACATACAGTAGCCAAATGTGTACTGATTGTTGGTACGTAACCATCTATTTATATCGTGAAAATTTTTCAAACTGTTCAAATGTCTTATTTTTAGTTCCGATAAATACAATTCAAAATTGGGTTAATGAATTCAAGCGTTGGACTCCCGAAGAACTAATAATCAATGATTATGTATATAAACGTCCATTTAGTCTGTACATATTGAACGAAATTGCAAAAAAGCTTGAACATCGAGCTAAAATAATTCAAAATTGGTCAGTAAACGGGGGTGTATTGATTTTGGGCTATGAAATGTTTCGATTAATGGTAACAAGAAAAGGTGCGAATGCAAGGGGTACCAATAAAAAAAAAAGAAACAATAATTTACATATACAACAACCAGTGTTCGTTGATCTAGAAGAAGAAAAAAATGTTGATGCACTAAACGGTAAGTATGAACTTTTCAAATTAAAAAAAAACAATTTGTAGATAAATCATACAATTAGCTGTAACCAACATTGTGACATTTTTAGATGTTCGAAATGCTTTGTTATCGCCTGATCTTATCATATGTAAGTTACAAATACAAAATGTTAATAGAAAATGTTTAATAAATTTCGTTGTTGTCAGGTGATGAAGGTCATCGGATTAAAAATCATTTGGCTGGTGTTGCACAAGCATTGAAAGAAGTTAAAACCCAGTATGTAGAAAAGAACAGTGTGTTAAATCAATTAAATATATATTCTATATCTACTTTTAGTCGACGTATTGTGTTAACGTAAGTTTAATTGGACATTCTATTATTTCTCAAAAGTATGTAAAGCTATTTTGTACGTTTCTTGTATAGTGGATATCCATTGCAAAATAATTTACTTGAATATTGGTGTATGGTTGACTTTGTAAGACCGAATTATCTTGGCAGCCGTAAAGAATTTTCAAATATGTTTGAACGCCCTATTATGAACGGACAATGCGTTGATTCAACTATAGAAGATGTAAAATTGATGAAATATCGAGCACAGTAAGTTATCATCGTTTTCTATTTTGTCCTTAATATCTCACTGTTTTTGTATATTTTAGCGTGTTACACAGTATATTAGAAGGATTTGTTCAAAGGTATTATTATCTATCTATTAAAAATTTTTTCAAAGTTTAATAAAAATCATTTTCTTTTTTTTAGACGTGGACACGATGTATTACAGAGTGCATTACCACCAAAAGATGAATATGTTATTCTATTAAAATTATCTACTGTACAAAGACAATTATACGTCAAATTTTTGAATGCTATTGGTGCATTATCTTATTCAGAAAAACTAAATCCACTAAGAGCATTTGCCATCTGTTGTAAAGTAAGTAAACATGATTATAGAATATGATATTACATTCTATTATTGATTTAAGATATGGAATCATGCTGATGTTTTGTATAAATTTATTAAAAATCGTCAAGAAGGATCTGATCTTGATCTTGATATTGATTTAGAATTAAACAATACAAAATCAACAACAAGACAACAACGTCTTAATCGAAATTCTATAAATAGTCAATCTTCATTTTCGCTAACGGGTGATCAACAACAAATGACAACATTTTCAATGGAAAAAAAAGAATTTGATTATGATTTTGTATGTTGTTCTCTTTTCTACAAATTTAACATGGTTATCAATCTTTTTTCATCAATTAAGGCTAATACAGTTTTCAATTCATATATGTGTGGTTTATTTTCCAGTGGTATCAAATTTGAAGTTGCCTTTACACTACTTGATTTATCGATAGAACTCGGAGATAAAGTTCTTGTATTCAGGTAAGTGTTTTACTACAAAGAAAATATTTTTATTTTTCAATGCCAAAAATATTATTTTTAGTCAAAGTTTATTATCATTGAATATATTTGAAGAATTTTTATATCAGCGACGAATACCAAAAAGCAATGATCAAGTTTGGGAAAAGAATAAAACCTATTTAAGTACGTGTTTTTATTACTTATTCTAATGAATTTTTATCTATGAAACATTTATGTTAGGGCTCGATGGTAGTACAAGTAGTCTTGATCGAGAAAAACTAATTAATATTTTTAATGCTCCAAATTCAAATGCAAAATTATTTTTATTATCAACACGGTATATAATATATATTCAATCTAATTATTATTTAAAATGTTTATGTTTATATTCTGATTTTAGAGCCGGTTGTCTTGGTATTAATTTAATTGCTGCAAGTCGAGTAATAGTTCTTGATGTCAGTTGGAATCCTTGTCATGATGCACAGGCCGTTTGTCGAGTATATCGATATGGACAAAAAAAACATTGTTATATTTATCGTCTGATAGCCGATTATACAATGGAAAAACGAATTTATGATCGACAAATAGCAAAACAAGGAATGTCTGATCGTGTTGTCGATGAATTACAACCTCAAAGTCAATTTACAAAAAATGAAGTTGAAAATTTAGTCATGTTTGCTGTAAATAAAATTTAACAATACATTCTATTAAGCTATAATTCTTCATTTTTTATTTAGGCAGAAGAAGAATCATCTGTTAATGATATATCGGACATTGAAAAAGTATCAAATGATGATGTTTTATTAAATATGTGTCAAAAACATATTCAATCAATAACTAAAGTGCCATTTACTCATGAATCATTGCTCTGTGACAAAAAAGATAATCAACTAACATCAGCTGATAAACGTCGTGCACAAAGAGATTATCAACATCAAAAACGAATGCATACCACTAGTTATAAACAACGATTGACCATAGGACAAAATTTATCATATCAGGCTAGAAAGTAAGTTCAGTTTCTTTAGACATTTTTTGATGAATTAAGTTAATAATTCTAAACTAAATTGTTTTTTCTATTCCTTTAGTACCCCTTTTTCTTACTCAAATTATCTGAATACTGATAACCGTATTTTTAATCAATCATCATCATCATCATTATCATCATCAACAACACTTGATACCCGTTTTCCACTCCTAAACAACTGTGGTCAACAACGTTTATCTTCATCTTTTATGACACCATTGTCAATACATTCACAACAAACATCAACAAGTCAAAAATTAGATGAATTAAAATATAGCGGAATGAATATACAACAAAGCATTCTTCGATCTCCACTCATAGTTCAGATTGAAGCAAGAAAACAACAAATCATTCCGGCAAATACTCAAGTACAGTATATTCAAACATCAAATGGTTCATACATACGAACTCCCGAAGGCAAATTTTTTGCTATTCGTTCACCTCAAAGCACTGAAGAACAAGAACAACAACAACAACAGCGACTGCCACCAAGTTCTCTTTTTGACGGTAAGAACTTGTGTTTTTTTCTCTTGCATTCTGTATGAATTATTTGTTTTAGACTCATTCGATTCTAATCCAACAATATCCTCCTCCTCATCATCATCATCAACTCTATTACCACAATCGTCTATAATAACTAATTTTCAAACTCAACCACTATCAACTTTTTCCGATATAAATGTTGATTCACTGTATTTTCCATATAATAATTCGTTGACAGATCTCAACGAGCAAGATAATTTTAATTTTATTGATAATATTCAAGCAGGAACAATAAACAATGTTGATTCAACATCTGATCCACTATCATCATTTTGGGATAATGATTTTTTTCCAAATACAAATAATGACAATAATTTTGCATCTTCTCCATTACTAGACTGTTCAGATTTATTTGACAATTTCTTCGGAACATCTGATCTTGAATCGGCCGATATTTATCAAAAAACACTAGCAAATAATAATATCTATAATTCAACAGCATTATCTGCTTCAACATCTCTCTGATAAATTTAGATCTGAGAGTTTTTGTGTGCATATAAATCATTATCAATTTTTTACTATTGTAAGTTATGTTTTTTCTACTTTTGAACATGTAATTTGATTTGTTTTGTACTATGTCGTATCATTATTTGTCTCTCTCTCTGTACTTTTCTAATATACTTCTTCTAGTTTTTTATATTTTGTCTCATTTTTTGTTATTTCTTGTGCGCTTATTTTTCACTCATACACACACGAAGAAAATTTGCTGTTACTAACTTTTATTACAATTTTTAATCATAATATTGCGGCTCGACTTCGTCTCTAAGTTGTTTTTTCTTCGTTATAGCCTCACAAAATACACATATCCTTTCTCTTAGTCTAATCCAGACA